GTCACCCGCGTGATGTGGGCCAACTCATAGTCGGGACGCCTAGAGAGGGCGTCCGCAAGCACGTTGAGCTTGCCCGGCTTGTACTCGACGCGGAAGTTATATTCCGCGAAGAAGGACAGCCACCTCGCCATCCGTTGGGAGAGGTGAGGCGAGTTAGTCGCCGTCCTCAAAGACGCGTGGTCTGTGTAGATCACAAAGGGCGTAGAGCCCAGAAGGTGAACACGGAACTTCACAAGGGCATATTTCATTGCCAGGAGCTCCTTGTCATGGACAGGGTAGTTCCGCTCGGCGGCTTTGAGCTGCCTGGACTGGAATGAGATGACTCGTTCCTGTCCAGCCGTGTCGTCCTGCAGCAATGCACACCCGATGGCGTAATCGGAGGCATCGCAGACGACGCTAAACGGCTTCGTCTCGTCCGGCAGAGCCAGGACAGGGGCCTCTTGAAGACTAGCCTTGATGCTGTCAAAAGCATCCTGGTGCTCTTGCTCCCAGCGCCAGTCGACGTCCTTCTGAAGGAGGCTCGACAAAGGCTTAGCGAAGCCCGCGTACCCAGCGCTGTACTTGTGAAGGTAGTTGGCCAAACCCAACCACTTTCGAAGATCCTTCTGGGATCGGGGCGTCGGCCATGCTGCTATGGCCTTGACCTTGTCTGGGTCAGCCCGAACGCCCACGTTGCTTACGAAGCAACCGAGAACTTTGATCTCTGGTGACGCGTAAACGCACTTGTCGATGTTGGCGTAGAGCTTGTTCGCTCGCATCACGTCCAACACTCGACGGAGGTGTCCTAGATGCACCTCCATGGCCGTCTTGCCTCCCTCGGCACGGCTATGGACGAAAATGTCGTCGAAGTGCGTCTGTACGAAGGTACGCAAAGGGCGGAACAATTGCGTCACCAGGCGATTGAACGTCGCCGGGGCGTTAGACAAGCCCTGTGGCATGACGAGCCACTCCCAAAGCATGCCGCTTGGAGTGCTTACCGCGGTGAGCGGGATGTCACTCTCTCGCATCAGGATTTGGTAGTATCCGTCTACCAAATCCAGCGCACTGTACAGTACGCTCCCGGCCATGTTGTTCAACAACACATCCTTTCGTGGGATCGGTGTTTGGGCCGGCACCGTTGCGTTGTTCAGCTTGTTATAAGCGTGAACCAGACGCCACTTTCCGTTCGGCTTACGAACGCAGAAAGTCGGCGTCGAGTGCGGGGATTTCGACTCCCGCACCATGCCTGCCTTCGCTTTCGCGGCGAAGAAGGCATCAATGACCTCGCACTGTTCGCGCGGGAGAGGCCATTGCCTCGTGACACAATACTTTGTGCCGGGCACGAGATCAATCTCGTGCCGTACGCCTCGATCCGGTGGGAGTTGGGTCGGTGGGTGTTTATTCACCACGTCCGCATACTCCGTCACCAAATGATACACCGGATCCTTGGGGTTCTTGAGAATCTCAGAACCCAAGCGCGCCTGACGCTGCTTGTTCATGTCTTCCAGGACTATCTCGTCCAAGACAGAGGAGGAGTTCAGCTCCTCCTGAGTGGTCTCAGGTCTTATGAGTACCATCTCAGCGATCTCTCCAGCCTTGAGGTTGGCCAGGAAAGACTCAGCCGTCATTTCCTCGAGGTTCAGTATCTCTGCAACCTCTGGCAACTGTTCCAAGTGGACACCAGATGCCTTGACGGGTAAACCCGTCTCGCTATCGAAGATGTGATAGCACTCTTCCACCGGCCTTGTCGGAGGAGCCCGGGTCCTGGACTCCGAGTCGCTTGAAGCGACGTCGATCGGAACGAAGTTCGGATCCGACTTGAGGCGGCGGCGGCGTCTTTGCCGACGGCTTCTGTGACGGGGAGCTTTGCTGCCCACGTCTAGGGATGTCGTCGCTACGACATCCGAGGCACTCGTGGCCTCGTGTGGTACTGTTGTACCCACACAGGAAGCGTGTTCAACGCCTTCCTCTTCAGTTAAGGTCTGGGCGACCGCGTGTGGCACTGTGTTACCCACACAGGAAGCGTATCCGACGTCTTCCTCTTCAGTTATGGTCTGGGCGACCGTGAGTGGAACTCTGTTACCCACTCTGAACACGCTGTTCTCAGTGTTCATGACAGCTGCAGCTGTCTGCGGAACTAAGTTACCCGCCTGTGGACCTACGTTACCCACTTGGCCGGCGCCTCTTCTGGGCGCGGCCACCATCAAAACATCCTCGGAGTCTTCATATACGTCGACGACTCCCAAGCATCTGCCGGATGCTTTGGTACCCTGGCAGCCCTCGCGGGCGCCCCGGGTCCTGACAGAGGTGGGAACATGACTCACCAATGCTCTGTCGGACTGCGCAGGGCGGCTGGCACCGATTGCCTTGCCTCGCCAGTCGACCCAGGGCTCGTGCTTCTCAAGCCAGGGCATGCCCAGGATCATATCATATGGATCCATATCGAGAACAGTGAACTGTTCGAGGCTGTCAAAGTCTTTAAACTTGACAGCCAGATCCACTTGGACGTTGGGGACAGTGACGACCTTCCCGTCGGCCAGTCGCACTGACACCGTCCCGTTGCCCTTGCTTTCTCGCAAAGCTTCGGACAACTTGTTGCTGTTACGAGCAACCGTCTGGCGGCGTGCGAAATTCTTCGACGCCCCAGAGTCAATCAAGATTCTAAAGGGGTGATCGTACCCCCGTACACATCCGTGTACTACGAGCAACCCGCCGCTGCTCTTCGCCGATTCGAGAGTGCGAAGACTCTCAGGGGCTAAGTCCCCGTGGTACGCGCCACCCGCGCACCCATCACGAAGACTTAGTTCTTCCCCAGTAGGGCGCCCCGCCCCTACTGGTTCCCTGCGTTCCCCTGTCCCCGGGATCCTGGCTTCTGCCAGCGACCCTTGAGGACGGGCTTGGGGAAGGACCGTCTGCGGAGTCTTTCCGCGGGACAGTCGCGCTTGAAGTGGCCCATCTTCCCACAGCCGAAGCAGCGGATGTCACGCTGTTCGGCGGACCCGAGTTCCATGGGAACTGGTCCGTTGGGGCTTGTTCGACCGGGAGCCGACAAGGAACTCCCAGGCCACGCTGAGGCCGGCGTACGCGCCTGGCGATGGCTGTATTCTTCTTGAAGAGCCACTTGAATCGCCTCTTCAAGGGTGCTTGCCTGCACCCGGAACAGCTGAGTGCGTGCGGGGCCCACTCGAAGGCCGTCCATGAACACAGTCATCTTGATGTGTTCATTGAGTGGGTTTCCCACTAGGGACGCCGTGAGCTCCCGTATCTCTTGCACATACTCGTGCAGTTCGCGTCTTCCTTGTTTACACGCGAGGAAGCGCGAACGCTGGCGGTACTCGTAGTTCGCCGGGAGGAACGCGGCTCGGAGCTGTTCGCACAGCTGAGCCCAGGATGTGAAACATCCAGGGGATGTCGCTTCCCGAGTGTACACCCAACTCTTAGCACGACCGCTAAGGTTGGAGAGTGCAAAAGCAACACGCAGTTGCTCGGTCGAGATCAGAGCCGCGTCCATCGCGAGCTCTACTTCTCGGACCCAGAAGTGAAGGTTCTCGCCTTCCTTCCCTTCATACGGCTTTACCTTCAGTCGTATTGGCTTCGGGTGAGGCGGGTTTGCTCCCGCCGCCGGAGCCTGCAGGTTCTCCCGCACATGCGCGATGAGGCCCTGCTCGTACGCGTCGAATGCATTGACGCGCTCGAGCTGCTCAGCCGGTGTTGATACCACCAGGCTCTGCAGGGCCTCCATCCCGAAGATGCCTGCCATCTTCCGAACCGACTCGAACTGAGAGTCGTTCATATGGGAGAAGTCGTTCCTATCCATGGCAACGAACTTCGGAGGTTCAGGTAGTCTACCCGCGATGGCGTGGATTGACTACAAGTGCTACCAAGTGTGACGGGGTCACACAGCACCTTGCGCTAGAGGAAGTTATCTTCCGAGAGTATACAAACTCTCAGTGAACGGCAGTTCACTGGTCCCCTCTTTAATTAAAGAGAGCGAAGTGACCTAAATAAGGTAGATTGTAAACTGAGTATATTTATAGGTAGGTTAAGTTTGTGGTTAATACAAACTATCAGTTACCTATAGAAATGCAATGTCATTTAACCAATGGTTGGTTTTGAATGACCTTGGTACCTTGTACCAAATATCCCGGAGTATGACATGTCATACTCCTGAAGTGTGAAGTGTCACACTTCATGTAACCAGGGTACACTTAGTGCTACGTACCCCGTTACATCTACCTTCTGACGATGGCCCGGATAATATTCAAGAGGACTGTTCTGAAAATCCAGCTTTGGCTTCGCTGGACTCGTGTTTCTCGACAACGCCCACCTACCTTACAGCAATGTGTAAAAGCTCTCGGATTTATCAATTTCTAAACTCTCAAAGGAAAATGACTGGTCTTACCGAAAAGGAAATTTGCCTCAAGATTGAAAGTTTAGGTATCCTTACTTTTTTAAGTACGAAGCTGTGACACACTGCGCCCAAGGCCATCGATGCTGTGACGAAGACGCTGTATTGGATAGCGAGCGTTGATTTCAGCGTGCCCGATAGTCAAGAGCTCGTGTCACAAGAAATCCCGGTCTCGAGGGAAAGCTAAATGCAACGCCTCTTTGTTCTGCTCAAGAATGCCTGTTTTCTAGAAAGGTTTTCGTTGAGTGTGTATCAAATCGAAATGAAGAAGAGGAGTTTGTGAAAGCTGTTGCAAAAACTCCTCGAGACAGCATCGTTTACCTTATAATTGTAAGCTCGCTGAAGCACAGCTACTTCTAAAACAGAAGCAGTGACGACGATGATGCCTTAGCTACCGAATTATCGGCTTTTCCGTGCAACTTCTAGCCTGGTCATCTTAATTCGAAGATCTCAAAAGATAAAGGTCGTTCATGCATATGGGGATAGGATTGAGACGAAGAACTCTCTTTACACGTATCGCACTGCCAATGATCCGAGTGCAACCAAAGTGATCATATTCTTGAGCTAACTCATTAAATTTAGATTAAAAAACGTGGGATTTTCAAATATCACATCAGAAACCGCGTCGGATATCAATCGTTGTCTTTCGCTTGAGTCGGTCTGTATACAACAATAGTAATGTTAACACTAGGCCCGATCGATTGGTGCAATAGCGCGACGTACTCAATACTGCAGCCGCACGACGTCGCACATCGGGCGGATCCCGTAATAAATCCTTCAAGTTGGTGGCAACGCCAGGAGGTGATTTAATCCCATTAATACCTTCCTGGCCATTTTCTCTCTTGTCAATTGCTACGAAGTCTTCCCGTCGTTTGTGCAGTGTACACTGGCCACTGCGTAGTCGAGAAATCGCCACGTGAGCATGGGTTCCGCATACCAGTACCAACTTCACCTCGTCACTCGCAATAGCTGACACAAATCCATGGAAATCCTCTTCGGTTAACCGGGAAATCAACACCACCGCGTCCCCTACTCCGAACGTTTCCTCCACCAACTCTTCGCTTTTCTTCAGTCGACAACGTAGTTTCTGTCCGTCCTCAATGATATCCACGTGGACATTGAGACTCCCGCCTTCTTGCACCGTCATTTCCTCCCTTTCTTGGAGTTCGCGGTTGCGTTGCAGCTTCTCACATTCAATAGATACGTCGTTCACGATCCTTTCAGGGGTCGGTAGTACGCCGTCCGACAAGTGTCGGAAGTTAAAGTCCCTCCTCGTCCTTATTTGAGCCTTTCGGAGTTGATTTTCCAGCAACTTACGCTGCAATTTTCCCTCTTTTTTGATTGTGTACTCGGTTGTTGCGCGTACGTTCAAGTTGCTCGTGGGCAATGGTTTCTCGTCCAGTGTCTTGAGTCGCTTGTCGATGATCGCTCGTCTGCGTCTCGTGCTTTCCAGCAACTTGCGCTTAAGTTGCTCTCTCTCAGACCGGAAGACGTCTTCCGCTTGCTGTAGATCGAACTGAAAGAGACTGAGCGCGTCTTGTTGCGAGAGCTGGAGCTGGTTTTGCGCCACTTGTAACTCGCGCTCGCGGACCTCTTCGAAAGGTCTACAGCGTCGTACAAAATCATCCAATACACCGGTATTCAGCTTCTCCTGCTGCTGTAGCACACGGTCAATGCTCTCCTGGTAGATCTGGCGCTCGAGCTCCAACAGCTCGCGCACATTGAGTTCAGCTCCGGCCATAAGCTCTCAAAAGGACTATTTACCTAGTATCTATCATATACCTAAATAGTCATTTCGACAGTAAAACAAAACATCCTTGCTATTCAGCATACCATAATTTCTACATTCCAAATGACGGTTTTCAGCCAGTTTCGGTTCTCATAATCGGATCATGCGTCTCCCCGTCTCGGCGCTGCTCTTGCTGCTCCAGCTCTGCGGCGCGGACGCCTCGTCCGTGACTGCGGGTGCGCCCGAGCACTTGATGACCACAGGAGGCGAATGTGTGCGTTTGTTTCACTCCAGGGGGAGCATCGGCTGCCGCAGTCAAACGGCTTCCGACATGGCACCTTTGTACCCGATCACAAGCGCCGACGAGCTTCAGAGCTTCGTATCAGGCTCCGCTGACCAACAAGAAGCCGACTCCAAGTACGTTCTGGTAATGGCCGAGTCGCTACTGAGCTACGACGCCATCGAGACTGGAATCGACCGTATCGCAGGCCTGTTCCTCTACCCAGACTCCACCAACGCTTCGTTCGACGTCGCAACACCGCAAGGAGACGGCACAGTGGATGGAGTATTGAACCCTTTCGCTAGTGATAAGACTAAGTGGAATCCAACCGGTAACGGGCTACTAATCGAGTCGCTGCCCTTCTCGGTCGCCATGCTGGAGAACTCTACGATGGGAGAAGAGTTCACGAAACGTGCGCAAATTAACTTAAAGGACTCCGCTGGGGCGACATACAAAGCCTTTATGAACTATTATTTCGGACCGGAAGAGATGGATTCCTTGAAATGCTTGAACTTCACCAATATTTACGGAAACCCCAGTCCAAAGTGCGACCCTATTGGAGGACAGAGTTCGTGGGCTATGCGAGGGAATTTAAAGTCCGGAGAGATCGTCATGGCCATGGCAGGTATGGATGCCGCCTCACTGTCCCACGTACTGTCACCCGGAGCCAACACCGGTGCGTCTGGACTTGTAGCACTGCTGGCAGCCGCCCATGCACTCAAAAGCTTACCAGACTCGTCGTTCAATAAAAAAGTCGTGTTCGCAGCCTTCCAAGCCGAGAAATTCGGATTCGTCGGATCGAGAAAGTTCCTTTCGGACTTGCAGAAGTTCACGAAAGACCCGGAAGGAGCGTGTGCATACCCCGTGGACGACTCCTCGTCTCCTATGGGCTCGAGTTTCTGCACGAATCCGATGCTCAGTAGCACGGAGTTCGCTAACTTAAATCTCGCGAACATCTCGTACGTTATTGCTGTTGATCAGGTGGGTATTCTACCGAAATCCGGCAACTTCACGCTGCACGTGAACCCAAATGCGAACGACTCTAGTGCTCTAGTCGACGCTGTACTTAACGCCCCATCCAGTGCTTCTGTTGCTGAAGGTAGAACGGCTTCGCTGCCTCCTACACCGCTGACATCGTTCGTAAACGATGGCGAGTACGGCCAACGTGACCTGGTGGGTGCAGTACTTGCTGGCTACGACGACAGCTACACCTCTAAGAAGACATACAACAGTCGCCACGACGAGTATAATCTTCTAGATGTCGACGCTGTTGTACAAGCAGCTCAAATACTGGCTGAGAGTGTTTTTACGCTGGCCTCGAATAATGCGACGACGGCACAGATGGACAAGATCAAGGTGGATACGTGGCTAGTTGAGTCCATGTTGTCATGTATCAGTACGGACTGGAACTGCGATCTTATGAAGAAATACTCACAGTACATGGTCTCGACGTTAATTGAGTATTCGAGTCTCGTGGACTCGGCTTCACCGTCGTACTCGGAGCCGGCTACCGTGTACCCGGGTACACTGAACCGTGATCGCTCTATGATGGTGCTGAAAAAAAGTGATGCCTCGTTCTACTCGCTCTTCAACGACTCGTGGTCAGACGAGGACTATGCTGTACGGCTCTTCCCGAATGCGTACGAGGTCTTCACGCGCGCCTTCCTGGCGTCTGCTATGGTGCCTAACGCTACAGCTGACGGTGCTCCGTCATGCTCACAGAGTCAAGGATGTAGTGACGGTGGGAAGGGCATGGAGTGTGTCTATCCTGGAGTCTGCGTTAAGAAGAGTGCGTACCATCACGAAGCCAGCTCACCGGCGATTAAGCGAACAGACACGCCACTACTGTACGCTGTGGTGAACTCGTCGATGCCTATCTGGACTGAGCCGCAATGGGCTACGGGGATCGGTAGCTACTCGTTCCCGGACCCTGGCGCTTGGATCGGCTGGATTACACTTGCTGTCGGCGTTGTGGTGACAGGACTTGGCGTCGGAGCGTCGTTTATGGTGCTAAACAGCGTGCAGAAAATGAAGCTGATGTAAGAACTTTACAGGCATGCAATTCTGCTTTTTCGGTAGATTCTAACATTCATAAGAAGAAAGCTAAAACATTAAAAAAAAATATCCAGGGATATGTAGGTCGAGGCTTTTTACTTTATACTCAGTAGATGCATGATAAATACTACGGTACTCTTAAGAGTTAACTTACGTCCTTCAAAGCTACACAGGGTACATTTTTTTTATTTTAAGAGAATATAGTACTACGTAGTATGCGGCTCTGCTGTTTCCATGACCTCACCACCGTTCTCAACTTCGTCGTCGTGTATTTCGTCATCATCATCGCCACCACCACCTCGTCCGATTGGGACAATGTCCGCAGTACCGTAACATGCGCAGTCACCTTCGCAAGCGAAGCAGGCTACGAAAATGATGCTCAAAAATAGCAAGAAGAGCACCATATCGGTGTAGAAAAACACCATGCCTTGCATGTATTCGTCCGGGGAGAGTCTTTCGTTCATACAGGACGCATCGTAGGCGAACCACATGATAAGCAGCAGCATCACCGCGAGAGACGCGCTGTATTGTAGCGGCGAAACCACATCCATCATGTAGAAAAAGTAAATGAAAAGTGAGGTCACGAAGCCTAAGAAGAAGGAGATTAGAAGCACAACGGGGTAGCTGATCAACGTCGACTGGACATTCGGATCGAACGAGCGTCTGATGATCGTTGTACAGAGTAACGTAGTGATTCCCATGATACCGAAGAGGAAGGTAAAGATAAAGATGCTGGCTTTCGTCTGGAAGAAACAGTCGAACGCGGTGAAGAACAGACTCTGCGTGACCGTGTACACTCCGAGAACCGTGAAGTTAAGCGGGAAGCGGTATTTGACCAGGTACAGCCACAGAAGCGCCAATACCATGAGCACAAACATGACAAAGACGTAGTGCCAATTGGAGAAGGTATTTTCGAAAGCGTCTGCGATTGCTGGGACGTACGAGAAAAATGCAATCAGAATGATAACTGCAAGTAGCTGCAGTGTGAAGATCGAGAAGAGTTTGCGACGAAAACCTTTCTGGATCTCCACGGGCATGTGAATGACTGCGAAAGGGTCGTCCATGGGATTCGAACCCGTTTGAAAAACAGAGAGCGAGATAATTGTTCGAGACTCCATGAAGTTGGCATCGAACCTCTTCTTGACTACCTCGAAGAACTTCATATCGGTCTCCGTTGCTCTGCCTGATGCCTGTTTCTCCTCTAAATGCTTGATCAGAATAGAACCTCGTCGGTAATGTGCCTTGCGTTTTGTCGGATCTAATTCATCTTCTGACTGGAACAAATTCGTCATTCGTTTGATCAAAGCACGCACGGATCCTTGCGGTGGGGTGGCGCGGGTTTGTTCAGGACTACTCACTGCGTTTGTCGACAGATCTCCAGACTCGTCATTGTCAGCTGCTGGTACTGGGTCAGCCCAATTTTGCTCTTGCGAGCGATAGCCATCTACACTGGGGGATCTTCTGCCAGCTTCGAGTCTCCGTTGTGGTAAATCATCTGACACCACCGAGTTATCGGATGTCATGTCCATCATGCTTGCTTTCGAAAGGTTTGCAGTAAGCTTACCGCTTAAAGGTGCTTTCCCACGATGGGAAGGATCAATTGAGTAAAAGTAGCTCCAACAACACGCTATTATAGTTTGCTGACTGTGGTTTCATGCCACCATTTATGGGGAATGCAAAGTATTTATAGAGCGTAGCACCACACTCATCTTATTTCTAGACTGCGAGCTTTTCGTGATGTATTGTCGAGACAGGACACGATTTTTATCACGGCGAGGAGAGTCCAACGAGAAGGCATCGCTGCGTATCTTCTCACACGTGTAGCTCTCGCCCTTGTTTCATCAGTGCACATCTCGTTCACTGTAGAAAGAGGAAAGTTCAACTTTGCGACCATCACTCCTGGGTGTAATTGGTGTACGTACCGTCGTTTTCGGCTCAGAGGCAATAAAACTAGGACGTGAAATGCACTCCTTCACTATTATAGGGTTAATTAACGTCATTTTGGTCGCGAATCCAGTGAAACTAGGACATGCAAATGTGCATAGAGAGCCGGGAACAGCGATACGGCGATCACGCTGCGCAATTGAGCGAAGCATCACTTGCTCATTCGCATCACTCAGATCCCTTCCTAGATCTACGCGTAAGTGGGTGCAGCTCCCTCAGTGATCAGCCAAGTATGGGCGAGGCAAGCGCGGCGGTAGTGCTCGCAACGTCTCCGCCGGCAGCTACAGCTGTCCCGAGTGCGTCCCCCGCGTCCACAAGCCGCAGTGGCCGTAACTTGCGTCAGAAAATGGTGGACGAGCTCAAGAACGTTAAGTTGCGCAAAAGTCCGGCAGGAAAGGACAAGAACTCGACGCGTGGGACACCGCCACCGCTTGAGCTCAATGAGGACGTGGATGACGAAGAGGACGACGTGGTGCAGGACCCCCAGGCTGCTGGCAAAGCCAAGGGCTGCAGCATCTGCGAGCGCTCGTTCACGGTGTTTCGAGCCAAACACACGTGCAAAATCTGCGCGCAGAAGATCTGCGACGACTGCAGTAAGAACCGAATGAAGCTTAACCGTAGACTGGAGCGCAAGAAAGGCTCGAGACTGTGCGACCCTTGCGCCAGGAGCTACATCCACGCCGACAACGGCAGCGGTGAGGATACGTTCCCGGACTCGTCTCCGACGCTCATGTCGATCCACAGCGAGGACACGATGACGCACAAACAGGGGGACTCGAACGGGTTGTCGCGTCGTCACTCCGTGCCGGCCAAGACGCTGTCGTCACTCATCCGTAACAAGGATAAGACGTCAGTGTCGAACGTCTCTACCGCCATACAGGTTAACAATGCAGGATCCTCCAAGATGCAGGCTACGACTCGTACACAGGTTAAGCGTATCGTGCATTTGTCGCATCTCCGCACGCGTCATTGGATGTCACTCTTGGCTATCGCCGTGCTGGTTACTTTGCGTGTAATCTACTACAACCGGAGGATTGGCGTCGAAGGAAGTGCTGTACCTTCAGACACTGCTTCACCTTCATCATTTGTGGAGCGTGCACTCGACAACTTGCTCTCTATGCGTACGTTGGGTACGTACTTACTGGGTCTGGTACTCTTTGACGAGTTATCACGTCCGAAAGGAAGTAAGATACAGGTTAAGAGACAGCATAAGAAGCGTCGTCGACGTCGCAGCAGCGGTCAACAGCGAGAGCGCACGAAGTCGTCTCTGTCGGACACCAGTGTGGCCAGTAAGCGCCACGCTGTCGACTCCTCCGCTCCGCCGTCGCCTCAGACGTCTCAGGACGACGATCTGGAGGTGACTTTGATCGAACAGAACCATGAGGAGGAAGGATTTACACTGGATAAGCTGGTTGGAGCACTGGACGAAGGTGCCAGAGCTCGCGCTCCTGACGGCAACTTGGGTCTCGGTTGCTTTATGGCTACATGCAACGTCATCTGCGGGTTTCTGGGCGTATTCGGCCGAGCCACATCGTTCGCTGGCAGCACGGTAGGTGCCTACTTCACGTCCATTGAACACAACCTGGAAGCGTGGCCCGTTCCGAGCTCATCGAACACGTGGAAGGAACAAAGTGTCCGGTCTGTGATCGAACACGAAGTCGTCCTTGGAGTGGCCGATGTGGGTGGGAAAAAGAAGCCCTCGTGCTCGCGCTGTCTGCTGCGCTTGCTGTGGTTCGTTCAGTTCGTGGAAGCTTGCGTGCGTCTCACGTTGATCGAATCTACTGAGGACAATTGCTACAATGGCGCCAGTAAAGCGTACGAGGAAACGCTTGGCAAACGCCACCCGTGGCTTGTGCGTAAGGGTGTCAACACGGCACTTGGATCGATCCCCACGCGTAGCCACATTTTGAACGAACTTCACACGGGCGACGGCGACGTGATGGAACTGTTGACTAAGGCGCATGCCCAACTGGTGATCGTCATTACTGAGCTCAAGGCCGTCTTCGAAGAGCACGCGCTCACAGATCTCAAATAAACTACTAACGTTAGATACATGTCATGAATTAGCTGCATCCGTTCAAAGAATACTTAGTACTTACAAAATACACAAAAGATGAGCTAGCGTTTATTGCATTGCATTGTTAAGGAGACACGTTTTACTTGAAGCGAGAGTTACTGATGTACCGTCAAGTTCAGCTTTGGGTCCCCAACTACAGTGCTGTAAGCTTAGTAGTAAAGTTACCCGATCTGTCCAGACTGGACTCCAGTAGATTTCGTTCGGGTAGAGTGCTGCACTGCAACGAATTTCTTTTTTAAGTGCCGCGTTGGAAATTTCAAAAATTCTTACTTGCACTGCGAGTTTCACTTCTGTTGTGGCAGGCTCACGTTCATCGCATCGAACAGCAATGAAAGCTGCACAACAGGAAACAGTGGAGATGCTCGACCAACACAAAAGTCTCCATCCTACTGTTCCTGTTAGGTGACCCGCTCTCAGTTAATCAAATCGGTACTGACGGGGATACTTAGTTTTGCACTCTTGCGTTCACAGAGGCAAATTGCTTTCTTTTTTATTTTATTGAGCGTTATTAAACGGTTATGTAAATACAGAGGTGAACATGACCGCGAGCAGGTTTCCTCGCTGCCAGATGTGTCTGTTACTTCTTCAGACGTGCTTGGCCATATGACCACTGGCCAGTCAAGTGTGGCGAGTTTTTGCTTCGACGATGGACCAGGTGAGAACACCGCACACCGACTTTCGACCCTGTTGCTCGAGTCGCTCCATTCTACGCTCCGGCAAGAGACAGGAAAGTCGGGAAGCGCGAAAAGGTCGGCCTGCAAAGCCCTGCGAATTGCGCCGAGATCCCCAAGCCGCTTTGCCCTTCTTCTCTCTTCTGGTCTGACTTGACCTCCTCGCAATCGCTGATCTTGGCAGTCGAGAAAAATCCTCCAAGGCGGTGGATGTGCGTGTATCTGGCGCCGCGATGGCGGAGACGCGCGTCGCCTCTACTACTTGTAGCGGTGCTCGTGCTGGCACTTGCACTGCTACTGACGGCTGTAGACGGCCGTATACTGCGTAGTTTGGGGACATACCCCCCGTCCACCTTAATTAACCAACAAGTGGTCGGAGTCGTCACGACAGACACGCAACAGAGCACCACGACGGTGACCACCCGGGCCTGGAAGTCAGGTAGCTACAGCGCCAGTCAGCTCGGCGATTATAAGTCCGTCTCTTTTGACAGTTTAGTAAAGACAACTTCAGCTCCCATGGAGCGCAGCACGGAACGTACGATGGGGTCGGCCTCTCAGGTTAATGCGATTCAGACCCCGTGCAGCTCGATGGCAGACAAGAGCTGTTCGAGATCAGGTGATACCAAGCAGGGTGATAGCGACAACGAGGATGGATCAATTGACGCTGATGAAAAGGATGAAAGCGATGAGAGCAACGCGAACAGCAAGTCGAACGACGCAACTACCGGCGCAAAGGGTACCACAAACAAGGCGACGACCCCGGTATCAACTCCGGCACCGACTCGAGCTCCGACACCAGCTCCGACACCAGCTCCGACACAGGGACCACCGCGGCCTGGTTCATTCGATGCCAGGCCTCAGAGCCGGTCATCATCAGGCTCGACTGAGGAGACTGTGGAACAAGAATTCGCTTCAACAAACGCTGCTAAAGCCCTTGAGAACAAGTCGGCAGCATTTGGAACGGACAACAGGTCTTTCGATCAAACGCTGGTGGTTGTTATCGTCGGTGTCGTAGGAGCTATCGGTGCGTTGCTCATGGTCGTGTCGCGTAAGGTGCTTAAGGAAACAAGAGACGACGACCTGGAGGATTCTAGCATTTTCTAACTCGAAGGGAGGTGACAGAAGGGATGGAATATCTGTAAACTTTACTGCGTCGGGTAGTCCATAAAGCAGCACACAGGGAGCAATAAGAAGCTATTATCAAATAGACTATGCGTACAACGCACAATATTTTCTTGATCTCCACTCCCACAACGCCTTTATCGGGTTCTAAACAGCCTGTGTGATCTACGCCGTCTTGACCTTAGTCTTAGAGTACGCACGGTTACGCTGTGTGAGCATGTGGCCGTACATGACCGGCAGACCGGGAATGTACACGACCAGCACGAGGATGACCACCACATACAGCGAGATGGAGACATTGTGTGCGTTCGGTTGCTGGATCGCGTACACGCCCGTGGACAGGAAGCTCAACGAGCTCACCATGCACAGCACCTCGCCTAGAGATTATCATCAACAACGTCAGACTCTACCGGCAGGTAAGACGAGTAGGATTAACGTACCGAGCACACCCGACGGGTAGAGCACCATGAAGAGATGGTAGCGCAGGAAGAAGAGAAAATTGGGCACTGCATTGTACAGGTTAAGGGCGTAGAAAGAGTAGCGCGGAACTTCCACTAGACCCCAGCTGGCAACCATGAGAGGGAAGCCGAACTGGTAGCGGGACACGGGGCACAATACGTTGATAGACCAGACCAGCCAGAGACGCGAGCTCACTTGCATGAGCGTGGAGCCCAGCGGCGAGCGCACGAAGCCCACTGCAGCGTGTACGATCTCCATCACAGCCATCGTCTGCACGATCTTGAGGGGCAGTGACACTACGATCCACGTGCTCTGCGCCACCTGATTCCAGTCCTGTCCGGCGCCATACGCCTCAAGCACCGTCGTCACGGTCAGATAGAGCACGTAGGCCCAACCAGCGCACGAGGCGCCATTAAAGGCCAGCAAATACAGATTCAGCAGCGCGTTCTTGGCCATGGCGAAATGACACGCAAAAACGGTCACTAAACAAAACGCGCTTTAATGACCAGACACCGTTGATTGGCCGTGAGCGGACTCAGTGTTGATACCGGTATTTTGGGCGGTACTGACGTAGCACCAAACGAAACGCAAGCTGGCCTAGAATGGTATAACACGTTAACCGCCTTGACCTCAACATCAACTACAGCAAATGCATCTTGTACTTAAGTATTCGATATCCATGCAGCTGTGGGTAAAAGATGCTTGGAGTTTGAGCTGCCATAGCCAGCAACGTCCAAGCATTTGCAGCTCTATACAAAACTGCCATAGCCTGCTCTACTAGCGACAATCTAGTCCGTGCCGAGGCTCTTGCGGATCTGCTCCGTGACCTTGTCCATGTCCGTGTGGGCGTTCACCTCGGTGAGCTTGCCCTGCTTACGGTAGAAGTCGATCACAGGCTGCGTCTGCTTGTGGAAAGCCTCGAGACGAGAGCCCAGAGTGGCCTCGTTGTCGTCCTTGCGCTGGATCAGAGGCTCACCGGTGATGTCGTCCTTACCCTCCACCTTAGGCGGAGCGAACTTAACATGGTAGCTGCGGCCACTGGCCGGGTGCACACGGCGACCCGAGATACGCTCCACCAACACCTTGTCCGGCACGTTGAAGTTCACGACAGCGTCCACCTGAACGTTCTCCTCAGAGAGCATCTCGTCGAGCTGCATAAACAGCAGAGTGAGCCTCTAATCCACACGTGTTCGCGGCATTAAATGTACGCACCTTCTTGGCCTGCACGACCGTGCGCGGGAAGCCGTCAAGGATGAAGCCACGACGACAATCGGGGCTCTTGATAGAGTCCTTGATGATGCCGACCACGATCTCGTCGGTCACGAGAGCACCCGACTCCATGGCGGCCTTGGCCTTCTTGCCCATCTCGGTGCCAGCGGCCACAGCGGCACGCAGGATGTCACCGGTAGCCAAGTGGCACAGGCAGTACTCGTCCTTTACACGAGGCGACTGCGTACCCTTGCCGCAGCCAGGGGGTCCTGTAAACGCGATAATAAGAGCGAGTTAGTCAATTGATGTCTTCGGATCCCCGTGGTTAATTGGAAGCATGGAGGCTGTTATTGCATACCGATAAAGATGGTACGGCGCTCCTTCTTGTTGGCGCACTCGATGCGCTTCTGCAGCTCTGAGAGAAGCGAGGTGGTGGGTACAGCGGCGAGGGACATAGCGACGAGATGCGAGTCAATGCACGTGGGGAGGAATCGGAACTGACAGGACACCATCGCCACGTTTTCGATCCCTAACCCGCTCAGGATATTTGGAATCACCGATATTATACCGGTTTGTTCATTTAAGTGCGACTAAGCGTATTTACGAGTTTTTACGACATTGAAGTTGACCTACACTCTGCAGTCTAAGATCACTCTGATTGCAATCTGTACGATGCGCTCGAAGGCGACGTCGGAGTAGCGACGCCAGCGCCACTGTCGTGTCGGGAGTTGCGGCGTCGTAAGCCCGTGAAACACCTTGGCCACCGCATAGCTCGTCCACATGATCTCCTCTCTGTCCTCGGCATTACTTTCCTCCATCGGACTCCCACCAAGACGCAGCTGTATCAGCGAGCTCGTGTCTCGCTCAATTGCCTCGATCAGAGATGCGGTAAGAGGACGTAGCATCTTGTGTAGTAAACGTTCGTCTTCTTCTCCTTCGTCACTATCTTCGTCCTCGAAGTAGTGCACGAGTTTCGTCTCCAGAGCGGCGCCTTACTCTCAAGATCTTCTTCATTCTCGTCGTGCGGTCTGGACGGAGATGGCGCTGGCAGCGCAGCTGCGTGTAGTGCACTGTACAGCTGCGCAAGACGAGCGAGCTGTCGGGACTCGAGGTGTTCGTGCTTCGCGTATAGACTGGCGGTCCATCGTTCCGCAGCCTCGGTCTTCATCTCTTCGGTCTCGTCGACTCGCCAGCTCAGCTGCAGCTGGAACGCTGGCTGCGACAACGTCAGGCGCTGGATCTGGCCAGTCTGTTGCGAAGCTCGCAGCTCCTGTAGCATCCGCCGTTCATTGGTTGCTGCAGCCACCGCAGCAGCGTTCGTCTCTCCCTCCTGTTGCGCATTTGAAGTCGCCAAAGGCGTTACCGAGTGTAGTGTTTCCCGGGTCCGAATACCAAAACTCCAACACAGCGATGCGGGGGCCAACCCGCACGAAATAGTAGCCGAATGTATTGATGTGTTGGTGACTTGGAAGATTGGAAAGTGAGTGCCTTGGGAGACCGTAAGTCTGGTGCTAACCAGCCCGTGCTCGCCAAGGTGAGCCCAAAGAGAGAGAGGCAGACTATCGTGGACAGACTGCTGAGAATGTACATGCAACACACCAAAGGAAACATGCAGTTGGGCTTACTAGATCCTAATACATCTTGGTAAGTCAACTTGCTCACCAAGATCACAGAGCTGTACCCATTGTCCACAGAGGAATGCCGTCGGACACATGCGGGTACTTCTGTGATCTTCACTGTCGACATCTCTCGATTACTGAGCCCGCCGCTCAGCACCAGATCTGGATGTCTGTCAGCCAGCTCGAAGTTCCACTGCGGTGAATCCAAGCTGGAAAACCCGGAATCCATTACACAGCCCCCGAAGCTTGGTTCACCGCTCTACTCAGTCGGTCACCGACAACAGCATGACTAGCTGCGCTGGCCACGGTCCCTACGACGTCGTGTAGATCGGCTCGAAATCCTGCGAGGTGTCGCTGTGACTCCTGCACTTGCGGCCATTGACCGAGTTTGGCGTCCTACAGGTTGGTCCAGTCCGTGTTCCCTGTCCAACCCAGTCGCGGCCTGCCCCAAACTTGACTGTACTCCTCGTGGAGCACTACCCTCACCGAGGATAGTTTCATTCTGCTGAATGCTCTGCTCCTGTGTAGATCGTCGTCGCTTCCTGCCCGTGTGTCGTCGTCTTGCTGGACGCTTACCACGAACGCCACCGGAACCCGGAGCAGTTGAGTCAGCCTGCTGCTGATCAACACTGGCATCTGAAGAGCCAACCTGCCGCTGGTCTCCACTTGGATGTATCTTGTCCCAGGCCTTCCGAAGTTCTTGGTCGTCTGACTGCTTCACGTAGCTCTCCACCAGGACACGAATCTCTTTCGCGAGGTCCGACATCGGCTCGTACGAATCCTCGATGGGTTGTAAGCCCTTCCATCCAACTTGTATCTCGAAATCCTTAATCTCGTTGTTCCACTGATGACCCTTCAGTTTATCGACAGATAACACGATGCCTTGAGATGATACGTGTTCTAACAGCTCGTCTGTTACCTCCAAACTTTCATCCACATACATCTTCAGTCTCGACGCATGTACATCCATTTCGTCGCCTGTGACTAAATGCTGTAATCGGAATGAATGAGCATCAGCGCGTATCACTCGGTATGGGCCAACCCACGTCACTTGTAGTTTATTCTTGTGCTTCTCATCAACTCGAGAACGAAGAACGAAATCGCCGACAGAAAAGCTCACCATATTCTCGCCACGTTCGCGCTTCTTGTTTAAAAGACGCTGCTTCAATCGCTGGTCCTCCACTGCACTATGCATGGCCTGGATACTTCCCCGTAGCTCGGCTAGATATCCATCGATCTCCTCAGATTCAGGAATCGTCTGCAAGTTGTTGCCATCAGGAAGATAAAATTCACGTAAGGGAGTTGGGTTCTGCAGTCCAGTGAAAAGCTCCAATGGGGAATGGTTTCCGAGGGATGGCACAGCAGTGTGATTTAGATTTGCCTGCACCATCGGAACCAGATATACCCAATCCTTCTGACTTATCTTGTACGTGATAATCATTGCCCTGACGACTTGAAGAATGTCCCGATTAACTCTCTCGACTGATCCATTAATCCATGGACAGTATGCTGGTGTGAACGTCTGCTGCGTCCGTAGTCTGCGGCTCAACTCCGCCACCACTTCATTCTTGAAGTGCGTGCCTTGGTCCGACATCCACTCCGGCGGAATGCCGAACCTCGAGTGCCATGCTAACAGAGCTTCCACCGTCACTCTGCTGTCAGCCGTGTCTACCACGACTAACTCACAGTAGTGAGTAGCGTGGTCCTTCAAGACCAGGATATATTTGCTATCTCCATAACTTGGTCTCATAGAGAGAAAATCAAAATGTAAGACTTGGTTGCGTGTACTGCAGTCGATCACTTCGCCCCACGGACGTGGGATAATTTCCCCCCCTCGACAATGCAGGCACAGCAAACAATCTTTCACGAATTTCTTCACGATAACTGCAACGTTGTCAATCACAAAAAGTCGCTTGAGGTGAGTGATCATAGCCTTCTGGCCTCGGTGGCCTTGGGCTCCACAATGCGCGACAATGCATAGTCGCTGGATCAACTCGGAAGCTTCCGAAGGCACCCAAATGCGCCCTTTTAGTGTAATCGTTCCGTCTTCTGTAGTTGACGACCCTGCCGGTCGCTCGTACTGAGCTTGAACAGTAGAAAGTTCCTCCAATGTTGGCCAAACGAAATCTTCATCGTCCAGTGGTCGGAGTCTCACCTTGGTTGGTGCCGTTTGCTGCCGTACAGCTTTAATACGTTTCATTATAGCCACTGGAGTGTGATTTCCGGCCCATCGCGAGATCATGTCGGCCCATACATTGTCAGGACCTGGTACATGTTCGATGATGTACCTGACATTCATGAGTTTCATCGCCCACCTGAGAAGCTTGCCTTTCACGTACTTCTTGACACTTTCGTGTGGCGCGAAAACATGGATCAAATTTCTATGATCACAAAACATTTGAAATGGTTGAGGCCGTAGCAGCAAATAGTCCATCTTCTCACAGGCCAATACAATTGGCAGGGCTTCCTTTTCGATGACAGTCCAGTTCAACTGGCTGCCAGTGAAAGTCCCGCTCATGCACTGGATGAGGCGGTGCTGCTGCTCGGTGACTGGCCGCTTCGGGTCGTACTCCTTCACTTGGGTCACGATAGCTTGCGTCTGTGAATAGGCACGTCGTGGCGTTATCGTC